CTCTTTGACCCTTTATCTGTTTTTTATTGGATATTTTATGAATTTACCTTTCAATGTTATCTCCTCTCCCATTCTCCCCCAAAACCCCTTATCCCATACCTCCTCCTCCTATCGTTATGAGGGTGTGCTCCAAACATCCTCCTTGTCCCATCTCCCTGCTCTAGAATTCCCCAACACTAGGGGATCCAAACTTTCGAGGACCATGGCCCTCCACTTCCACTGATGTCTGACAAGGTCACCCTCAATTACCTATACAAGTGAAGACATGAGTCCCTCTCTTTGTGCTCTCTGGCTGGCGGTTTAGACTTTGGGAGTTCCGGTTGAAACTTTTGATACTCCTTCTAGAAAGGATCAAAGCACCCACACTTTGGTCTTCCTTCTTCTTCTCGAGTTTCATGTGGTCTATATGTTGTATCTAAGGTATTGTGAGCTTTTGGGCTAATATCCACTTATCAGTGAGTGCATACCATGTATGTTCTTTTGAGATTGGGTCACCTCACTCAAGGTGATATTTTCCAGCTCCATCCATTTGCCTAAGAATTTCATAAACTCATTGTTTTTAATAGCTGAGTAGTACTCCATTGTATAAATGTACCACATTTTCTACATCCATTCTTCTGTTGAGGAACATCTGGGTTCTTTACAACTTCTGGCTATTATAAATAAGGCTGCTATGAACATAGTGGAACATGTGTCCCTGTTGTATGTTGAAACATCTTTTGGGTATATGCCCAGGAGTGGTATAGCTGGGTCCTCAGGTAACACTATGTTCAATTTTCTGAGATACCGCCAGACTGCTTTCCATAGTGGTTGTACCAGTTTACAATCCCACCAACAGTTGAGGAGTGTTTCTCAAGAAATCACTTCTTAAATCTACTCCCCAAACAGTAGCAGCAGCAGTAATGTTATCAGCAACAGACACTTACCTAATTCTGTGTAGAACCTGGCTACCAGTGAAGGAAGCCTTCAGCCTCCCATCCCCCAGCTTCCTTTACTACTGGATATATTTTCAAATCCTTTGTATGCATAAAAGACCAGCGTCTTTCTCAAGTCTGTACTCTACCCCAGCAAGTTCTCAGGACTCTAAAGCTCATCTCAGTTCTCGCATGGACTTCCATATTTATCTTCCTCCTTCTTTACCCTCTCACCTGTCCATCTTAGAAACACACATTTCTCTTGTCTTGCTGTCAGTTATAAAACAATGGGACAACCATTTGCCTTGGGTGGCGAAAATCTGAATTGGATCTGCCTGGATATAGGATGGATTATATCCCAGTAAGCCTATCACAAATTGAAGTTCTGTAAAAGAAGAATTCAAACAATAAGGATAACGTACAGAACATTGCAGCTTAACTTAGGCTATTTTATATGCATTCCAAACTCATATTTGGGCAAAATAACCTAAGGAAAGTGTACTGTACACTAAAGTGTGGCCATTTCCTGCCATGCACTGAAGACTGTATAGGAAGTGAAATACAGAACAGAGTATGTTTTTGCTTTCAGTGCTAGCAACACCAGTGATTTAAAGGAGAGCCTGGTATGAACACTATAGAATAAAGAGTCCTGTGGCTTCCTTGCCTAAGGGAAGGCTTAACATTTGTGTTGTTTTAAAGCATGTCCACATGAGCTGCTCACTGCATTTCATATTCTCTACAACATGGTGGTAGCTGTCATTTATCCTTGACTGTGAAGGCTGACAAAAATCTAACAATTAAATTTGATAAAAATAGTTTAAATTCATCACCCGCGCTCCAAGAAAAAATGTTTGTGGGTGTCAGATGTGGAGAATGGCAGAGAGAACCACCACACATCGCTCCTTTAACACCAGGGGTATGTTTTTGGTGATAAGAATTTAAAGGTTCGTTTACTCTCAGATGCATGCTGGTTTTGTAGCTGCTTGCTCACTGTGATGGTAGCTGCTGGCTGTGCTGGGCTACAAACACGTTTCTATGTAAAAACTTGGTGTGAATCAAATACACACAGCTTTAAAGGCGAGAAGGAGCTTGTTAAAGAAAACTTGGTGTCCACGGTAGATACATTGTGGAGTTTGTTAGTTTAAGAACGGAAGCAAACACCAAAGTGTTTGAAGAGCTAACCATAAAATGATGCAAGTTGAATCTTTGTTCCTGCAATAAACTTGAGTCAGAAGAACAAACAAAGACGTCTAGAAGGTTGCTCAACTCTGGAGTCTATGAAAAGGTTTTTGCTCCTGAAAAAGACTTGTGAAATTGAATATCTTGACCAACATCCTATGTCAGCTCAAAGGGCCCCAGGGTCCACATTTATGACCAAGTTGCTAAGTAACACTAGAAAAAAATTAAGTCATTTTTAATTGGAAAAATAAAGAATCTGTTGTGGTATGTTTTAAGGTGCAGCAACTGGAATATGTGGGGATGAATGTTGACATGAAATCGTAAGACTGGAATTTGGAACTGGAAGAAATCTGGGGACATGTTTTAGGGGTTTTTCATTGTCAAAGATAGGTAGAGGTCCTTATTAGGATCTTAGATTATATTTATAAGGTTTACTTGTTTATTATTTCAAGATAATGTTACATAATGGGATTCTATCTGGACTGGTTTGTGAGGTCTCTGCTAGTGACATCATTTTCTGTGCTATATTTCATGTATCCCTAGAGTAAAGACTCCCTACACATTGTCAGTCCCCCTTTGCCCTGTCTCACATCCCCCATCAAGTCATTTCCTTATGTATGTGTTTTAAATAATGTTGTATGCCTTAATATATATTATTATATACGAATATATTATATAATATAAGATGTATTATATATTATATAATACATATATTATATATGTATTCTATAACATACAATATAATATAACATATTATATATCATAATATATCATACATATATGTGTATATGTATTATGTAATATTTAACATATGTATTATATAGCATATGTATTATATAATATGCTATGTTGTATTATATACGTATTGTAAAATATACTATATATTTATATATGATATAAATATATTATAGATTCATACATAATATATATATAATATAATAATATATAATTTATATTGCATATATTATATGTGTATAAAATTTAAAGTCTACTTCCCTGTTTTGTTGTTGCTGCTGCTGCTGCTACTGTCATTAGAATAGTTGTTTAACATGTACGGTTCCTGGGTTCAATCCCTAGCATTGCATAAATATACAGATTGAGTATGGTGGCATAGACTTGTCATCCCAGCACATGGGAGGCAGAAGCACAAGGACCAAATGTTTCAGGTCATCCTCAGCTACATACAGAATTCAAGGTCAACCTAGCCTCACAACCAATTACAACAATAAAGACCCTTTAAGGATTCCAATAGCTGTGTGCATGATCTGCTCGATGCTGTATTTTCCCTCACGAAGAGACATTCCTCCTTTCATATCGCATATAACCAATAGTAATGGCACAGCATGTAACCTGTCTTTTTAATTTGGGGCTCTAAAGTACACTGTCTATTAAAAGCTTGATCAACATGCATAACCGAATTCCTCATAACACAGGTAAAAACAGGAAGGCTGCAGAACACCACCCCACTACAACACTCATTCTCATTATATAATAGGTTCTATCTTCTGCTACAGCTCATCGAGATTATTTCTTTAGCATAGATTGGCTTCTAAAACCACATTTTTATATTTCAGTTGTCAAGCTATGGTCTTCCCTAATAAAGGAAGGATTGATGACAGTTCTACTATAATTTGATGTTAGAGTTCCTTTACAAAATTCTCCACAAATGTTTGGCTACATACTTTTCCAAATTTCTAGAGTTGGTCGGGCAGAAAGAGAAGGATTTTTGCTTTTTAAAGTGTCTACTCACATTCTTGGGCAAGCCGCCGTATAACAAACCACTGAACTCTCTTGAACCATCCTCCAGGAGTCCGTTAGCTTTGTTTCCAGGGCTGGCTAGGTGAAGGGCTCTTTATTTCCACTTGTGTATATGCATTTTTTACTTTCTGTACAGAATTTCCAAGATCTCTTTGCAAACTTTGTCTTATTAACATTGAAGATTTTTCACATGTCAGTTACAAGAATAGTATTAGCCTTAAATGAAATAAAACTATGTCTTCAATTGCAGAGACTAACATGAAAATTAAGCTTCAATATTGAATCAGACACATGCATGTCTGCGTGTGCACACACACACACACACACACACACACAGTCCTGATGTTTATGACTACTATGATTTTAAGTCCTGGACTGAACTAATGGCAGATAGTTACTTTGAAGCTTCCAGAGTTTTCTGTTGTTGTGGAAGGTTTTCCCTTGATGGTTTTTAGTCATTTACTTAATATTCCGTTCAAACACTTGACTCTGTCTGAGATGTGCCACTAAATCTCAACTTCTTTATCCTGTGACTGTTTTCAAGAAAAAAAAAATGTCAGGTTGGTTCAAATTAAGCAATAACAGTAGATAACCTATGAGAAATCATAGTTGAAATATATTTAATTCCTCCATTGTCTCACTCCTCACGGGTTCTGATTATCAATGAAAAGAAGAAGAAAAACAAATGTGTGCTATCCATTTCATTCTACTGAGTACTACTAGATAACTGTTTTTAGTAATAGGGACAAACAAAATTGGGACATATTTCACTTCCTAATTAAAATTTTCCTTGGTTTCAAAAGCAGACATGTTCAAAAGTCATGAGTTGAGTTTTTATGTGTCCCATCTTCAAAATGAAGGTCAGCTTTGTAGACTGACATTCTAGCGACAGGATGCATCAGGAGCCATGACCTTTAAATATTGTTTCATGACATTGCTGAAGCAGTTCTCTCTTGTCTCCTTCTTCATGATTTTATAGGATTCCTGTCTAGTGGGGAACTAATATATGATTTCCCAGGAGCCACCGCTAAGATCCCTAAGCTTTTCTCCTAGCTAACAACAACCTTGCATTTTATGTTTTGAAGGAAAGAGCCTAGCATCTCACCAGCCTAGCATCTCACCTGAACGTCTTGTGTTGTTGTTTAACAGAAAAGATGACTCCACAGGCTGACTGCTTCTCGTCGGAAACTCCAACCCCTGAGGAAGAGCAACAGGTGGAGCGGATGATGACAAAGCGGGCAAAGATCATCAGGGAGCTGATACAGACAGAGAGGGATTACCTCACAGATCTGGAGCTGTGCATTAGAGAAGTGGTCCAGCCACTGAGAACCAAACAGGTGAATGCGAGCTGGAGGTTGCTCTTCTTTTTCTAGTATCTTCTCTCAGTCTAAATAGACACAGCTGCACTATGAAGTTCAATCACCAAATGCCAGTGGGGTGAGAGATGCTTCTTTCTCAGGGTTTCTAGTCCTAAATTTAGAGAAGAAATCAGCGGGTTGTAATTGATTCTGGTGAAGTGGATTACTGAGGAGTGGAAGTTCTGTCTCCCTGTTTACAAGAGGAAACAATAGTCTCAAACATGGTGGGAAAGAAATTCAGATTTGTTTATTTTGTTTTGTTTGGTTTATTTTTTCCTCCATTATGAAATATTTGTGTTTTTCCTTTTGGGATTCAATCTCCAAAATTTGGGAAATAGGTTTTCAGCAACCTTGAGAACAAGTTATTTAATTCAGTGATATCATAAATTCAAAAGAGAAAATGGATGTAAGCCCCACCCTCACCCCCGAGAGCTCACTTAAACTTATAACTATTTAGCTAACTAAAATTCAATATAAAATTAACCTGGGTGTTAGTAAAAAAATTTCTCTTTTAGTAGGGTTGGACCTAAACAGAACTCCATATTTATTAATGAGTAATTTTTCCCCCTTAAAGGAGTTTTTCTGGGAATCATTTTGTAGGATGTTCAGCTTAAAATGGGAGTACATAGTTATTTCACTGATTAATTCATCACTTCTTAAATGCATGGTACTATTCTCAGCTCTGGGCCCTTGTAAGGTTTACTCTTTACTACAGGTGACAAGGCCATACAATAATAAACAATTAAGATTGAAATATATTAGGTGGCATTAAGCACATCGACTTACACAAGGAAAGGGGTTGAAGTGTGGACGAGGGTGGTAGTTCTTCCATTCCAAGTGGGGTGACCATCACGGGCATCTCTAATGCATCAGAACAGGCCATGGAAAGAAGAGAGGGTCAAGGGAGGGCGGAGAACAGAGCAAGAACCTCTGCAGTGCTAAGTGGTTCTTGTATACAGTCCAAACCCTTCAACAACAAAGAGAAAGCAAATGAGAAAGCACTCAAAGAAAATCACCTACCGTGGTTGGAGACTTTTCAGATATCTGTGGACTTATCCACACAAAAATGTACACTAACAAACAGACACAGTCACAGACAGACAAGCACAGACACACAGACACAGTCACAGACACACACACACACACACACACACACACACACACACAGACACACACAGACACACAGACACAGTCATAGGCCCAGACACAGACAGACATAGGCACACACAGGGACATACATGCACAGTCACAGACAGACACAAACAGAGTCACAGACAGTCTCATATAAACACAGAGACACACAGACATAGTTACAGACTCAGACAGACACATAATACAGTCACAGACAGACACAGATACACACAGACATACATACACTGTCACAGACAGACACAAACAGAGCCACAGACAGTCTCACATAAACACACAGACACACATAGTTACAGACACAGACATAGACATAGACACACACAGATACAGTCATAGTCACAGATACAGATGCAGACACAGTCACAGTCATACACACAAAGACAGTCACAGACAAACACAGTCACAGATACACACAGACAGACACAGGCAGATACACACACACACAAGCATACAACCACACACACAGACATAGGAACAGACAGAGACGCAGACAGAAACAATTACAGACAGACACACATAGACACAGGCACAGACACACATACAGATAGAATCACAGACACATACACACAGATATAGTCACAGGCACTGACATACAAGACAAAGTCACACAGACAGACAGTGTCACAGTCACATATATAAACAGTCACAGACAGACAGATGGACATATACATTTTCATACAAAGATGTGCAGTCTTATAAATATATTTTCATTCAAAAACCTATTGTAATCTTTTCATGACGTCTAATACCTCTAAATGTTTTTCTGCTATTACTGATTCCAATATAAACATCATTTTGTTTTTCTGTCTGTTTATCTCCTTAGGATAGATCCTCAGAAACGGAATTGTTAGAAAGCATGTTAGGATTGAGCATGGTGGCACACACCTTTAATTCCAGAAGTTGGGAGTCAGAGGGAAGGTGGATCCCTGAGCTAGAGATTAGCCTGGTCTACCAAGAGTTTCAGGCTATACAGGGTGACATAGAAAGATGCTGTCTGAAAAACAGTGTAATTATGTTGTTTGGCTGTTTGTTTTTAAAGTTAACTGCCAACTAAAATTCAATAGTCCTGGTTTTTATTCCTATTAATGGTTAAGAGGTCTTTTTTTTTTAATTTTTGCATCATTTTTCCTGAAAAACCTCTCCTGGTATATTTCTTAGTGTTTATAATATTCATCTCTTTCACATTCTTAACTTTTTTTTTGTTAATTGGATGTTTTATTTACATTTCCTATGTTGTCCCCTACACCCATCCCCCACCCACCCCGGAACCCCCAATCCCCTCACCCCTCCTCCTTCTTCTCTGTGGATGTAACCTCTATCTACCCCCCCAACTCCCACCTCAAAATTCCCACCCCCTGGGGCATCCAGCCTTCATGAGGTCAAGGTTCTCTTCTTCCACCTATGCCCAGCAGGGCCCTCCACTCTTACATATTCAGCTGAAGCCCTGGATCTCCCTCTAAGTGCTCCCAGGCTGGTGGTTTAGACCCTGGGAGCTGTGGTTGGTTGGTATTGTTGCTCTCCTCATGGGGCCACAAATCCTTTCAGCTCCTTCAGTCTTCACTCTAACTCCCCTATTGAGAACCCCATGATCAGTTCAATGGCTAGTTGTGAGCATCTGCCTCTGAATATGTCAGACTCTTGAAGACCTCTGAGGAGACATCCATATCAGGCTCTTATCAGCATGCACTTCCTGACTTCCACATCAGCATCTACCTTTGGTGACTGCACATGGGATGGATACTCAGGTGGAAAGGTCTTCAGACGGCCCCTCCTTCAGTTTTTGTCCCTCACTTTGTCTCCATATTTGCTCCCTTGAGTATTTTGTTGCTCCTTCTAAGAAGGACCGAATCACCCCCACTTGGTCTTCCTTCTTTATGGGCTTCATGTGGCCTCACAGTTGCATCTTGGGCATTTCGAGGTTCTGAGCTAATACCCAATAATCAGTGAGTGAATACCATGTGTGTTCTTTTGTGATTGGCTTACTTCACTCAGGATGATAATTTCTAGTTCCATCCATTTACCTAGGAACCTCTCGAATTCATTGATTTTAATAGCTGAGTAATATTCCATTGTGTAAATATACCACATTTTTTAAATCAATTCCTCAGTTGAAGGACATCTGGGTTCTTTCCAGCTCCTGGCTATTATAAATTAACCTGCTATGAACATAGTTGAGCATATGTCCTTATTATATGTTCGAGCATCTTCTGGGTATATGCCTAGGAGTGGTATAGCTGGATCCTCGGGTAATGCTATGTCCAATTTTCTGAGGAACCGCCACACTGATTTCCAAAGTGGTTGCACCATCTTGCAGTCCCACCAACAATGGAGGAGTGTTCCTCTTTCTCCACACCCTCGCCAGCATCTACTATCACCTGAGTTTTTAATCTTAGCCATTCTGACTGGTGTGAGATGGAATCTCAGGGTTGTTTTGATTTGCATTTCCCTGAAGACTAAGGATGCTGAACATTTCTTTAGGTGCTTCTCGGCCATTTGAGTTTCTTCCATTGAAAATTCTTTGTTAAGGTCTATACCACATTTTTTAATAGGGTAATTTGGTTGTCTGGAGTCTAATTTCTTGAGTTCTTTGTATATATTGGATATTAGCCCTCTATCAAATGAAGGATTGGTAAAGATCTTTTCCCAATTTGTTGGTTGTCGTTTTGTCCTATTGACAGTGTCCTTTGCCTTACAGAAACTTTGCAATTTTATGAAGTCCCATTTGTCAATTCTCGATCTTAGAGCATATGCCATTGGAGTTCTGTTCAGGAACTTTTCCCCTGTGCCCAAGTATTCGAGGCTTTTCCCCACCTTCTCTTCTATTAGTTTCAGTGTATCTGGTTTTATGTGGAGGTCCTTTATCCACTTAGACTTGAGCTTTGTACAAGGGGATAAGAATGGATCAATTTTCATTCTTCTACATGTTGTCCTCCAGTTGAACCAGCACCATTTGTTGAAAATGCTGTCCTTTTTCCACTGGACAGTTTTAGCTCCTTTGTCAAAGATCAAGTGACCATAGGAGTGTGGGTTCATTTCTGGGTCTTCAATTCTATTCCATTGATCTTCCTGCCTGTCTCTGTACCAATACCAGGTAGTTTTTATCACTATTGCTCTGTAGTACAGCTTGAGGTCAGGGATGGTGATTCCTCCAGAAGTTCTTTTATTGTTGAGAATAGTTTTCGCTATCCTGGGTTTTTTGTTATTCCATATGAATTTGAGAATTTCCTTTTCTAACTCTGTGAAGAATTGAGTTGGTATTTTAATGGGGATTGCATTGAATCTGTAGATTGCTTTTGGCAAGATGGCCATTTTTATTATATTAATCCTGCCAATCCATGAGCATGGGAGATCTTTCCATCTTCTGAGATCTTCTTCGATTTCTTTCTTCAGGGACTTGAAGTTCTTCTCGTACAGGTCTTTCACTTGCTTGGTTAGATTCACACCAAGGTATTTTATATTATTTGCAACTATTGTGAAGGGTGTCATTTCCCTAATTTCTTTTTCAGTCTGTTTATCTTTCATGTAGAGGAAGGCTACTGATTTGTTTGAGTTGATTTTATAACCAGCCACTTTCCTGAAGTTGTTTATCAGGTTTAGGAGTTCTCTGGTGGAAATTTGGGGGTCACTTAAGTATACTATCATATCATCTGCAAATAGCGATATTTTGACTTCTTCCTTTCCTATTTGTATCCCTTTGACTTCTTTTTGTTGTCTAATTGCTCTGGCTCGGACTTCCAGTACTATATTGAATAGGTAGGGGGAGAGTGGGCAGCCTTGTCTAGTCCCTGATCTTAGTGGGATTGCTTCAAGTTTCTCTCCATTTAGCTTGA